AATGGTATATATTCTATTTTCTTGATATACCCTCTACTGATATGGAAATCGCACCAACTAGAGTGATTCGATTGACCTTAATGGAATCGAAACGAGTGTGTGTGTGATTAAAGATAACCAGCAATGTATGAATGTAAATGCAAAAAAAAGTAATGAATACAGAAGGTTTTTAAAGTGGTTCGGCAAGTTATGATCTTTAACTTAAGTCCACTGTCTTTCTTATTTGCTTTGAGAGCTTACAAGAATATAGTATAATTCTTAGAAATATTTGCTAACCCTTTTTCTATCGTTGGAAGAGGTTTATATACAAGTTTTGTATAAAGAAAAGAGCAAAATTAAAGGAATTACAATCAAGATTGAAATGCAACTCCAATATTCTCTCGATTGAGTCCTGAGATTGCGCCATTATTGTTGTCGATCTGATCCTTTCCGAAATATTCGGGATCTAAGTTTATCTGTGATCTGCTTGAACAACTGTCGAGATTAGTCGCGACTAACTTATACTGGGTTAAGCTATATCCCGACGAGTTTATGCTAGGGTCGGAAAATCGTTTGAGTTGAACTAGTTATGGGTCAGACTATAACCTCACAGAACTCTGACTTCTCCAAGTTTAATGGAAAAATCACACACAACACCCTCATTTATTTAAAACGTTTTTAATCTCTTTCTCAATATTTTTACTTGCAATATTTAAGAATCCATTTTTTTTTTTTTTTGGTTCTTTTTTTATACACTTGCTCTCACATTAAAACTTAATTTATTGACTTTTTCAACGAAATAAAAGTTCGATTACCTCCTTTCTAGAATTATTATTGACTTTTTCAACGAAATAAAAGTTCGATTACCTCCTTTCTAGAATTATGTGTATATGCAAACGGATCGACGGGATTGCTAACCAGTCATTGTTGGTGGTGCGTTCAACAACATTGTCGATCGAATTAAGATTGTCGTGAGGCAATTTTATGCAATGATATATTGATATTAGTGTCGTGAGGGCTTTGATTGCAGGAGGTCAGGAAAGTCTCGGAACTCTAAGTTGGGGTGTTGCCTTGATGTATTATAGAATCATAATGATTGGTGGAGAAGCCCAAAACAACTGGGCCTGGGGTAGCTTTTGTATTGAATAGGCTTTGATTGGACATGTTAACCCATATTCAAGACAAGATAATGCCTTTCTTTTGGATATCTAATTGGAAATGATTTTTAGTCCCCCCATTTTTAAATGATTTTTTATTTTAACAAGTTTAACCTTAATAAAAATTATTAGAAATAACATGATAATTTATAAATATACTTATATTATATTATATTTTACATATATATTTTTTTTAATTTTAAGTTTTAATTCTTATATAAACCCTAGCTCTAAATTTTCAAAATCATTAAAGTTATTATTTCAAATTTTTCTTTGTTTGATGAAAACAAATTATTCAAGTTATGGAGAAAGTAATCATATAATTGGATGAATCTGAATTGAAGAAGAAGAAAGTAAGCTTCAAATTTGAAACTGAAAAAAATGGGTATTAAAAAAAACTATAAAATGGTGTAAACAAAAATCCTAATTAAGTTTAAAATTGAGGGGAAATAGAGTAAACAAATAAACTTAATTAAGCAAGGCTATTTTCGGTATTAATTAAGGTTTATATATATATATATATAGATGGAGAGAGAGAGAGAGAGAGAGAGAGAGAGAAACCTCTCTATAGTGATACTCTATAAGAATAAATTCTACATAATCATAAAAAATTCTATTCCCAATTCAGGATAGTTATAAATAAGAATAAACTTCACATTGTAATAAGTTATAATTATTCTAATTCATGTCTTAAAGAAAGTTGTCTCCACATAGTAATAATTATCTGTATATTGCAAAAAAAAATATGTTATGTTGCATTAAAGGTTTAAGATTAAATAAAATATTTATCTAATGTTGTTTGAGATAATGATTTATGTTTTAGAGTTATTACCACATCTTTTAACTTGCGGGTACATTACTCCAAAATATTTCTAGCTTCTTGACACGAAACTTTTTGTATTTCCGTACTATCATCCTCATGATTATTTCCTTTCTCTTCTTATCTAATTGTAGCAATAATTTCTTCTTCAGTTAAAGCATACATGACTTGTTACTCATTTGGATGATTAAGGAAGACAATAATATCCATTCGATTAGTGTAGTGACGATGCCGAATCTGATCACTCAATTCTACAATGACTTTTTGATTCTCCTTATCCACTTCATTTGTAACTTGCAATTCATCGACATTAGGGGTCCTAATTTTGCAATGCTTAAAACAATTGGCAGTTGACTGTGGCTTCACATCAATTGACCATGCAGTGACTATATTTACAATTCTATCAAGGACACTTATCTTTATCGGTTCCAAGACATAATCTATCCGTTTTAAAAGTAAGCAATTGAAGCGCTAAATTGAAACCCTAATACTATTAAAACATGAATTGAAATCCTAATGTTGTACTACTAAAACATGAATTATGAAATAAGAAATTTTTGTAACTAAACCTCTATTAAGTTATAACCTCCTCATAGTAATAAAATTAGTTATTCCCACCATTATAACTATAGAGAGGTTTTACTATATATATATAGTAAAACCTCTCTATAGTCATAGATATAGATATAGATATATATATATATATATAGATTAAATATATATATATATATAATATATAATATATAGAGAGAGAGAGAGAGAGAGAGTGAGAGAGAGCGTTATATTTTAACAATGAAATATACTATCAATTTGGCAGGTGTTAAAAGTCACTTCCCAATAGGGGTGTTCAAAAGAACCGGTAGGAACCGGAACCGGTGGGTACCCTGGGTTTGGTTCCGGTTCCTACCCAGAACCAGTCGTCATCGACAAATAAGTACTTTCCGTTCTATACTGTTAGTGATTTGTGTTTCATAAAGGGTAATACAGTAATTTATACAGTCACCAAATTTTTAACTTTCAAAATATCTCTTTGAAATATGGAGCGAGACTTCCTTTAGAAGCTTCACTTTAAAGATTGACACAAGTTGGCTTGCCTCTTCGTTTTCTTCTCGTTGCTCTGTAACTCTCTCTCATTTCTCTAACTCTCTGAAGGAAGGTTGTGAAAGAAGCTGCACCATTTTTTGGGGACCATCATCGACGACGACGACGATCGAACAACAAAAACTGAACAGAGGCCGATGACGACAACAACAAAAACGAAAACTAAACAACGACGATGACTAAACAACGACGAAGTTGCACCATCATTTGGACACCATCATCGACAACGATGACTGAACAACGGAACCGGAACCAGGAACCAGGAACCAAGACTAATATAAAATAAAATTAAAGATTAGGGGGGTTAATAAAAACTTTTATAGAAAAAGTAATGTGAATACATTTATATTTATATTTCATAACATTTAAAGTAAGTTGGTTTCACTTTTGAGAATCTACGTTTACAAAGTAATGAAGCTTGTAATTTTGAATTTATAATTTGTAATTTTATTTTTGTTAACAAGTGCCAAGTGGGGGGGTATTTGTAAATTTTTAAGGGTTTTTTTGCCATTTTAAAAACTTTTGGGGGGCTATGAATTTTACAGGGTACCCAGAACCGGAACCGTTGTTACAGGTTCTAGTTCTGGGTATCTAGGAACCGGAACCGTCGGTTCCAGTTCTGGTTCCAAATTTAAGGAACTGTCGATTCCGGTTCCTTCAAAAAGTGCAGGGTACCCGGAACCGAACACCCCTACTTCCCAATATTAATCAATAATACTATATTTACAAAGAAATCTTACAAAGATTTTCATACAAAGTAAGGTGATAAAAAATGAATGAAAGAGTAGAACAAAAAGTTAAACTCATTATATTCACTCTTCCATTCATTTTTTGTCACATCACTTTGTATAGAGATCTTTGTAAGCATCACATTGCTCAATATTAATAAAACTAGCATGTTGATTGTATCATAGTTCTTGAGCATCAAGGTTGGGCTAACTTCCGGGTAGAGCAAGGCCGATCTGACATGAATTTCATGGTTACGACATATGCCAACTCTAAGTGGTTGTCTACTAGTCTAGCAGTAAATTGATTCTCCTAGTTTATTATTACTACTATTATTAGAGTATTGTAATCTAAGCCCCACCTAAACTCTAAGTAAGCCCCATTATTAGTTTTTTAAAATAAAAATACAGTAAAACCTCTCTATAGTGATACTGTATATAGGAATAAACTCTACATAGTCATAAAAAATTCAATTCCCAATTTGGGATAGTTATAAATAAGAATAAACTTCATATTGTAATAAGTTATAATTTTTTTAATTCCCGTCTCAAGGAAAGTTTCCTCCACATAGTAATAATTATTTATATATTGCAAAAAAAATATATGCTATGTTACATTAAAGGTTTATGATGAAATAAAATATTTATCTAAAGTTGTTTGGGACAATGATTTATGCTTTAGAGTTGTTACCAAATCCTCTAACTTGCAGGTATATAATAACTCGCTAGCATAGACACCTTCTTGTTGAACCCAAAATATTTCTAGCTTCTCAAGCATCTTTAGAGCTTCATGGCACGAAACTTTTTGCATTTCCGTACTATCATCCTCAGGATTATTTCCTTTCTTTTCTTGTCTAATTGCATCAATGATTTCTTCTTCAGTTAAAGCATATACGACTTGTTGCTCATTTGGATGATCGAGGAAGACATTAATATCCATTCGATTAGTGTAGTGAAGTTGTTGAATTTGATCACTCAATTCTGCAATGACTTTTCTATTCTCTTCATCCACTTCATTTGTAACTTGCAATTCATCGACATCAGAGGTCCTAATTTTGTAATGCTTAAAACAATTGATAATTGCCTGTGGCTTCACATCAATTGACCATGCAGAAACTGCATTTACAATTCCATCAAGGATACTTATCTTTTCTGGTTCCAACACATGATCTTCTATCCGTTTCAAAAGTAAGCGATTAAAGCGTTGCCGATAATAACCTTTGAAATTTCTAAAAGTTCCTACATCACATGGCTCGAGTTTGGAAGTGCTAGCTGGTGCTAGGAAGAGAACAGTTGTGTGATGAAGTGGGGGGAGATTCTCCTTTTTGCCATGTGCGGTACAATTATCCAATATAAGCAAGACATTTCTATCCAAACGGCTATCAAACCACTTAAGCCATTCCATAAAAAACAAAGATGTCATCCATGCATTTGAATTCGCTTTATACTTGCAATTGAGATTATCACGGTTAACATTATTAAAGCATCTTGGATTAAGAAACTTACCGATGACCCAAAGCGGAGTTTGTCAGAGCTATCGCCATTGCAACAAATAACAATTGTAATCCTCTCTTTGTTTTGCTTTTGGCCCTCTAACTGCTTTGTTGCAAGAGAGTTATCAGCTTGCATTCGATAAAATAAGTCAGTTTCATCCATATTATAAATGTCCTTCCAAGCCCATTTGTCTAATTCCTCTCTTATTGACGGCAAACTAGCTTCAATTTTCTCCATATTAGCTGAACCACTTTCCCCAAAACGATGAAAGGAATGAATTGCATGTCGTTGCTTGAACTTTTCCAACCATCCATTTGAAAATCCAAACGAGGTAGCTTCGAGATAGAGTTTCCTTAGAAAAATAGTTCCCTTCTCTTTTAACAATTCACCATTCATATTGTCATGCTCTTGATGTCATACAAACCATTCATAGAGGGCAGACTCCATTGCTGGGCACTTTACCATCTTTGAATGTTTTGTGTTTGGGTTCAACAATCCTTCTTCTTGAAGGAGGTCAGCTGATCGTTTGAGTGTCTTAGATATTGCTGCTTGTGATACCTTAAGACCATGAGTATCTTCTAACCACTTCACAAGATCTTTCTGCTACCAACTAGGGTTTGATTCTTTCATTTTGCACAATTCAACACGAATACTTTCAGTCAATTGAGTTCGTGTATTAACTTTGGGTGGCATGATTGATTTGCTAGAGGAAGAAGAAAGGTATCACTTGAATTGGTGGAAGATTTTATTGAAAACTTGATTGAATAAGTTGAAACATAACAACCCTATTTATAGCAGGCTAATCATAATTCTACTAGGATAAGTAAATAAGAAATTCTAATACTACTACTAAAACAATGAATTGAAATCCTACTAATACTAAAACATGAATTGAAATCCTAGTTCTACTAAATTTTTAATTTTAAAATAGGAAATCAAGTAATATTAAAAGTAAATAGGAAATCCTAATACTACCAAAACATAAATTATAAAATAAGAAACAAGTAATATTAAAAGTAAATAAGGAATCCTAATACTACTAAAAAAATTAATTGAAGTCCTAATATATACTACTAAAACATGAATTATAAATAAGAAATCAAAATAGTTTTTTTGTAACTACCCCTCTATTAAGTTATAATCTCATTATAGTAATAAATTAGTTTGATCCCAACATTATGACTATAGAGAGGTTTTACTGTATATTGTATACACAAAATTACCAAAAGATACTATTTATATAAATAACTCTTAACAAGTTTTTCTAGTTTTTGAAACTTTTAAACATCATGGAATTCTCAAATAAGAATTTTATTTATTTCCAACATTTCATAAACTTTATAAAATTTTTAAGAAACACTTTCAAAATCCTTTACCTATGGTTTGATGTCATTCATCTAAAAACTTTTGGTTCAACTTGTAGAATTTTCAGAGAAAAGAAAGATAAACTTGATTCTAGCTTAATGATACTTTTGTATTAACAAACTTGTTACAATACTTGCTACTTTTATACTTGAGCGAAAACAAGTGAAGAAAGTGTGAAGAGAGTAAAGAAAAGAGTAAAGTTGCAGCAGCTAACAAACACGTTTGAGAAGAAGACTTTTACATATAAAGTAAAACGACATCGTTTGGTCCTCTCATTTTGAGAACTTGCAGTTAGCACCATGAATCTTTGGTCAACACTTCCCCTCAAGCTAAGCTGCTTCTCTTTTCCATTATCTTTAACACAACTAAACAGCTTCAAATTACTAGTTTTATTTGCTTTTATGGGTTTCCACAACTGCTTCTAAACTATGAATAATAAAAACTGGAATACTCCATTGTATAACTTGTGAAACTACCGTATCTTATTCAATAGTTAAGGTTTTGAAACCCGACCTAAGATGTCACTCGGCCAAGGGGTTAGGTCTCAGTTTCCCAGTAAGACCGGTTAAATCGATAATAGTTTCAACAGTCCATAAAGTTTAAAATCTTGCAAACACACCCCTTAAAAAATTGAAGCAGTCCCTATAGGTTTTTAATCTATCAAATACACCCCTATGATTTGACCCTAAATTGATTTTTCTAGCCAAATTCCAACTAATTCCAGCGATCAAAATTCAATCCAACACCACCACCTGAACCACCATCCTCCACTTTACAAAACCCCTATAAATCTGAAACTTGGTAGCCCCCCATTCGTCAGTCATGACTCGCGAACAACGTCGCGATTGGGTTCATTTTTCAAACCAAATTTCGGCGTCCAAAATTTGATCCGACACCACCACCTGAACTACTGACCTCCACTCTACAAGACCCATCTAACCCCTGCACTTGGTAGGCCCCTGTTCGTCGGTCGTGACTCACGTATTTGGTTGATTTTTCCAACCAAATTCTGACTAATTCCGGCGTCCAAAATTCAATCTGACACCACCTCTTGAACCACCGACCTCCACTCTACTAAAGCCCTCTAACCCAGATAGTTGATAGCCCCTTGTTCGCCAGCGATTAGATTAGAGATTTGATGAATAGTTAAAAATGGTAACTCGGACTGGAGAAGGCGTTGGTCACTGGTTGGATTGGTCGGACTGGTTGGTCTGGTTTGGTTTTCAAAACCTTGTCAATATTAGAAATTGCCTTAAATAAGGCATACAAACATATTAGCACACTTTTCAGATTGACAGCCCCTTAACTACACGACTAAATGAGACTCCTCCTAAGACTCGTTATAACTCACAACTTCCATAAGAATAGGACAAAGCGACGACTTATTCAATATTAATTAAAATAAAATCTTAATATAAACCTCCAATTTATTTGATTAAAAAATTCATTTATTTTTTAAGAATTAATCAAATAAAAAAAATAAAATAAAGGAGTAGAAGTATAATGGTGATTTCTTTTTTAATGAAATCTTATTATTTATTTTGTTTTTTCTCATTCATGACTATTTTGTTGTTTCTCCTCCATGATTAGAAAAAAGAGAATTAGGTTAAAAAGATTAAGAAAAAGGATAATCTTTGAATAAATTAAAATCTCTTTAAAAATATTTTTTTCAATCAACAAAGAGTTTTGGTGGGGCTTGAACAACTCTGTTGATATTATTATTATTATTATTATTATTATTTGGGTGAGTGTTTCATCATTTTAGGCCCTAATAAGATCTATTAGATTTAGTGGTAAACAATTTGGTTCATCCTACAGTTAGTTTTGTGTCAAATTTATATATTAGAACATCTCTAATGGTACTCTTTATTTTAAATAACATATTTCACATAAATAAAGAGTATCTTTATTAGTTTTTAAATATAAAGAACAAAATTTATATTAAAATCTAATAGATTCTTTAAATTAGACTTAATAAATATAAGAGAGACTTAATATGAGAGATAATTAATAATAAAATGCATAGAAACTTATAATTTATTAAATAAAATTAGAATAGAGAGTGAGATTTAACTCTCTAGATATAGAGAGTCAAACTCACTTTTTAATTTATATTTAAATAATAAAGAGTCTATTAAACTCTTATTTTTATGAATAAACACTTTATAGTAAAACGTTTTCATCGTGTAAAGAATTATTTAGAAATGCTCAAAATCATGTTATTCTCTTTAATTTGGGCATCAATTGGGGGCCAGCAGCAGCCCAAAATAGATGTTGATTAGACAATTTCAAGTCCACGTGTTGAAGCCCGTTGAAACTGTTGCCCCAATCACCTAATAAAGACTCTCCCCGTCTCAAAAGTCTTGCCGATGCCCAAAAAATGAGTATCGGAAATTGACAGAGTTGCCCAAACTCTCTTCATATATTGAATTCATCATATTCCAGATAGACGCTCCATAAACACTAATTTATTAACAATTTTTTATATTTGTCTAAATTATAAAAAATAATTATATTTGTCTAAAATAATTATACATACAGAGTTAGATGTCCAACTTTTTACTCTTTACGGTATTTTTAAATTATAATATTTATCTTATCATCATAAAATTAAGATGATAGCAACTAAAAACTTATGTAAGATGAGATTCTAATTTTTTATCAATTAAGTATTTCTAAATTAATCTTGTGTTAAAATTATGAAACATATGGATCAAATTATAACTCTTAAAAATTTCATAATGACTATAGTAAAAACAAGTGGATGTTGAAAGCACTTTATTAGGTATAAATAGCTTGCCTTTTATTAATACTATACTAAAATATTCAACTTCTTCTAGAAGTGGTTTCATTATAGGGCTTGAATTTCTCATGTCTTTATTCATTTTAAAATGTGAAAATGAAATTTGAATTCGACATCTGTGAAGTGAAAACTGCAAAATTATTGCATTTTTAATCAGAAGTAAAACTGACTTCAGTTTTTAATTTATTAAATATTAAGGGTTCTGATCCTTAACTTGTAACACGAACCTCGTTTTAATCGAGTCTCGTTAATTAATTAGAGAAATCACTTTGATTAGTGGGTGAGTTTTTTATTTCTTTTCCGTGATCATGCTTTAATTGAACCAAAATATATATGATAGATATTGTAGAGGTCTGGTTTTTTGGAAGAAAAGAGAAACAGAGCAATGAGAGTGATGAAGAATTACTCTGTAATATCCACCTAAAAAAAGGTAATGTGAAATCTGTACAGTAGCCTATTTATACAAGTGAAATAAAATAATCTAGACATGAGAAAACAAAATGAATATACAATATTGCCCTCAAGCATACGTACAGCTCAAAATGTCATGATCAAATCTGTTGAGAATAATGTAGTGGTGTTGCTCTCTCGGTTTTACTCTTTTCGTGTGGCAGTTGACTCATCATTCTCTAATATCCCCCCACAAGATGGGAATAGAAGAGAATAGATGTTTTCTATTCCCATCTTGGACAAAAGAAAGCCAAGTTGAGTGGAAGGAAGTGCCTTGGTGAAGACATCCGCAAGCTGAAGTGAAGAACGAACATGGGAAGTGCGTAAAAAACCAGATTGAATTTTGTCGCCAATGAGATGACAATCGATCTCAATGTGTTTTGTGCACTCGTGAAACATCAGATTTGTTGTGATATGTAAGGCAGCCTAATTATCGCAATAGAGATCAGCTGGAAGTGAAACCGAGATGTGCAAGTCTTGTAAAATATAAGACAACCATTGTAGTTCACAAGAAGTAGTTGCCATGGCTCGATACTCAGCTTCAGCGGAGGAGCGAGAGACCACGGTTTGCTTCTTTGAATGCCATGAGATCAATGAGGATCCAAGGAAGATGCAAAAGCCCGTAATGGAGAGGCGAGAATTGGGGCAGGAGGCCCAATCCGAGTCAGTATAACCTTGAAGATGAAAAAAGGAGCTGGAGGGAAAAAGGAGTCCCTGACCAGGTGCATTCTTAATGTAGTGGAGAACTTGGTGAGCTGCATGTTGCTGTGAGGAAGTAGGAGCAGTCATAAATTGACTTAAAACATGGACAACGTAGCTTATATCGGGGCGAGTAATTGTGAGATAAATTAATCACCCAACCAAACGTCGATAAGGGAGAGGATCCGAGAGAGGCTGACCATCATCCATTCGAAGCTTCAAATTTTGTTCCATCGGCAACTTGAGTGGTCGAGTACCGAGAACACCAGCATCAGATAATATATCTAGAGCATACTTCCGTTGGCAAATAGATATACCCTTGGAAGAACAAGCTACTTCAATTCCAAGAAAGTAACGAAGATTACCAAGACATTTAATCCGAAAATGCTCACTGAGAAATGACTGAAGAGCAACAATGGAATCCATGCTTGAGCTGGTCACAATGATGTCGTCAACATAGACGAGAAGTGCTGTGAAATAGCCATTGTGCAACCAAGTAAATAGGTTGTGGTCAGCCTTAGATTGTTGGTATAAGGCTTGAGAAAACTTTGAATACCATTGTCGCGGGGCTTGTTTTAAGCCATAGAGACTATTGTGCAAGTGGCAAACCTGATTTGGTGACCCTTTGAAATAACTAGGAGGTTTGCGCATAAAAACTTCTTCTTCCAAGTCGCCGTGTAGGAAGGCATTTTGAACATCAAATTACCTAAGAAACCAGCCTTTGAAAAAGGCAGCTGCTAACAAAGTCCGAACAGTAACAAGTTTTGCTACCAGGGCAAAGGTTCCGTTGTAGTCAAGTCCCACTTGTTGTGTAAATCATTTGGCGACAAGACACGCTTTGTAGCGCTCAATGCTCCCATCAGAATTATGCTTGACTTTAAAGATCCATTTGGAGCCAATGGTATGCTTACCAGGTGGTAAATCAACAAGTGACCAAGTGTCATTGAGTTCAAGGGTAGATATTTCAGAATTCATAGCCTCACACCAGTGAGGGTACTTGATAGCTTCTCCATAAGACTGAGGTTCAGGTGTGGCAAACAAAGTAGAAATAAAAACATGATAAGATGAAGAAAGTTTATGGAAAGAAATAAAAGAAGAGAGAGGAAATGGTTCACCTGAGTTGCGGGGCCTTGCCATGGACAAGAATTAGAAGGCAACATTGTTACACGTCTCTAACAAGGGGTTAAGCCGCATTGTTTGAGAAGGTGGAGGAACCATTGGTGGAGAGCATATAAAGTCACTTAAATGAGGGGAAGGGCGACGAGAGCTAGTAGACCTAAGAACTAAAGGAGGAGGAGGTGTTAATTTAGACTTGGCAAATGGGCGGGTGTACCCACGGGTCAACGGGTACCCGTACCCAACAGGTGGGTACGGGTAACACATACTTTGACCCGTGAGAATCTAACCCGTACCCAACTCGCCCGTGACTTTTGCGGATGGACCGGGTACTACCCGCGGGTACCTGCGTACCCGCAAATTTGAAATTTTAAAAAAAAAAAAAAAAAAATTCTCACTCTCAGACGTCAAACCCTAATCTAAACCAAAACTTATCAGTGAAAAAAACAAAAAAGTTAAAAAAACGCAGCAACTCATTCTCTTCTCTCACAGGCCATAGCAGCTCCACGACCACTCCTCGGTCCTCTCACAGTAGCTCCACTCCCTCACTCTCTCACTCTCACAGTAGCTCCACTCTCCCTCATTCTCTGACTTCTCTCACGGCAGCAGTAGATTTCCTCTCACAGCAGCACCAGCACCGCAGCAATAGATCTCTTCTCACGGCAACAGGGCAGCAGTCAGGCCAAGGCAGCAGCAAATCTCCTCTCACGGCAGCACCAACATGGCAGCAGCAGATCTCCTCTCACGGCAGCACCAGCAGCACAGCAGGTAATGTATAGGTTGATCAAATCTCATTTTACTTTTAGCTATACATCCTGCCTTTGCAGCTAAAAGATGAGTACTGGAAAGTGGAAACTTTGGTTAAAGACTTAAAGTTACTTTTGTATTTTAATTATGAAATACTTAATATTTATCTCAACAATGTGGAATGTTTGATTAGTGATTAAAATAAAAAATAGTAAGGGAGAGTTGAAAAAGTAGTGCATTAAAATAGTTTGTCTTTGGTAAAGCATGTGACAAAAATATGATAGAATGGATAGAGAGAATGAAAAATATAGAACAAAGCATGTGGTCTGACTGACTAACTGAGAAATCATGCCCCTCTGCCTCTGGGACCAAAAACGTGAAAATTGACTGCTTAAAAACGTGACGTGAGGGAGGCTTAAAAAGTTTTGAAAATGAATTTTAGCCCCTAATATTGGCCCCTGCTCAAATATTTATTTTCTTTTGACTCAAATAATGATGATTCACAATTTCACAACATATACCACATTATAATTTTTTTTTTTTTTTTTTTTGGATGAATTGTTAAGAATTATGATTGGTTATACTTATTGGAGTTGAGGGGTGTGATTGTTGAGTTGGAAAAATCCAGTCATTTGGTAGGGCTGTTTTGCTTGTAAAATATATGGGAGTGTTTTATTTTTTTGGACGAATTGTTATGAATTATGATTGGTAATTAATTTAAATGTAAATACTTTTTTGGGTCCTTTAGATTGGCTTGGTACGGAGGAGTTACAGATTAGGAACGGGTCGTAATGTAGCCGTAGGTTAACTTCCTTCTACTGGTAGTACTGTTTGTCCAAAAAGACGTAAAGTTTTGATGTTTGGGGTCAATTTACAACATATGTAGAAGATAATGGGGATGTGAGGTTAAAGTGATGATTTGTGGTAAGTTTATGCACATGGTAGTTCCAGTCATGGGACTAAGAATATGAGGCACATATGGAAGGTTGTCCTAAACGTACCATATACTAGTGTAGATCAAATGATGATGGATTGTGACACTAAATTGAGACGTTTGAAGATTTCTCAAGAAATTTACGTGAGATGATGGCAATAGAATCATAAAACATAATTACCCATATTCAATAGTGAGCATGAAGGAATTAGGGATGTCCACATGTATTTGAATCTGAAGTTAAGCATTATACTAGGGCACCGCAAGGCAGATTGCTTAGATATATTACACGGAGAAGGAAAGGATTAAGCTTGCTTTAGAGAGGGTTTCGGGTAGAATATGCTTGATTATGATATTTGGAGTTCTTGTACTACTGATGGGTATATTTCTTTAACGGCTCACTATGTTGATGAGAACTGGGAGTTACAGAGTAGAATTCTGAATTTTAGCCATATTCCTCCTCCACACTGGGGGCTCTTTTGTCAAACATAGTGTATGATTTCTTAACAGATTGGGGGATTGAAAAGAAAGTCTCTCTCTTACATTAGACAATGCAAGTAACAATGATAAAATGGAAGACATTTTAAGGAGTCAACTTGTGGTGCAAAATGTTTTATTATGTGATGGTTCTTTTCATGTGCGATGTTGGGCACATATCTGAATCTCATAGTCTAAGAAGGTTTAAAGGTGAGGTAGCGTGGCTTGCATAAATTCGTGAAAGTGTGAAATATGTTAAAGGAAGTGAGGCTAAAAGAATCAAGTTTGAAGAACTTGTTAAACAAATGGTGTAATAAGCCCAAAGGATGCGAATGGATATTTCACGAGATGGAATTCCACTTATTTAATGCTTGAAAGTGCGTTATATACCGTCGTGTGTTTGTTCATTTGGCACTGATAGATCCCATTATAAAAGTTGTCCTTCAAATGAGAATGGGATAAGGGGGAGAGGATTTGCAAGTTCTTTGTAATACCCAAGATATCAAAGGATGTTCCTAACTCAAATAGTCCTTTAGATGTTAATTTATGTTAAAAAGCTAAAATCTAACTAAGGGCAAAATAGAATTCATTTGGAACGGTATGAATCATTATCCAAGAGAGGCTTAGGGGCCAAATTGTTATTTTGCCTATGGATAAGCATTGAAAAAGTCAAGGTTGAGTAGGCTTCATTGCATTTAATGGCATTAATAAGTAATAATTATGTCTAGTGTGAAATGACCAAAATGCCCTTATATGAAGAATTAAGGACTTATGAGTTATACAATTAAAATAATTGGGCCAATTGCATAATTTTGGAAAATAAATGAAATATTTTCCTATAAATGAGATGAAATTCGTTCAAGCCAAAGAGAGAGCCTTTCTTCAACATTTCTTCCATTTCTCTCAAATCTTCCATGAAACAAGCTTTCTTTCTCTAAGTTTTAAAGGATTTTTGCTTAATTTTTCAAGGAGAACAAGATAGGAGCCTTGGATCTTCAATTGAAGGGTTAAGGTAAGGATTAAAAACTTTAGTTTTGATATGAATTGAAGATTTGAAGTAGATGTTGAGGTATATAATATATATGTAGGATTAAGGTGTAAAAGAAGTCAAAGGCAAAGGATTGGGAGGAAGTCTTTAAAAAGGTAAGGAAGAACCTCCCAGATTTTAGGGTTTATGCTAGGGTTTGTGGATTTTATGAAACCTTAAATTAAAGCTTTAAGGCATAGAATTAGTTGATGGCAAGGTAGTTGAACTCATTTATCTACTTATTGCCTTGAATTCATCATACATGAAGTTATTGTCTTTATGTTTTATGAGTTGTTGTTTGATTGAGAAGAAAATGAAGTTGGATACTGATTGTGGCAAAAATTGTAGTATTGGAGGCCACATGGTGTCGAATGGTGTGATAGAAGTGTGGTGTGTTGTTTGCATTAGCTTACAATGTTATAGCAATAATGGATGATTATGGGAATGAGATTTTACACATTCCTTAAGATGTTAAAGACTATTAAGGGGAGGTTTATTGATCCATAAGTAACATTGGTTGATGTCAATAGGAATTGATGTGGCATAGTTAATATGAAAATTCGGATTTGTGGGCTTAGGGGTTTGTTAACCCTGCTTCAGTATTCGACCAAAACTTGAGTTATAAAATCGAAATGAGATGATTCTTGAAGAATTAGAAAGTAAGACACAGACCTATACGTTTTGTTTATGCCAAGAGCCAATTCGTTTGAGAAGAGGACGGAAAATGGCCTGAAGCATAAACTGGTTATTAAAGTTAGATTTAACATAATCAATTCTTATGATTATGAATTGATTATTAATGTATTATTGTAATTATGTCATGTACTAATGTTTACCCATAGTTAGATGATCTTTGAAAGATATACATGGTCATGATGTCAATGCATGATTAATGTTATGAAATGGCAGAAGATGCAATGTAATACAGTTTTAAGATGATGTATGTGAGCAAGAGGGAATGTAAATGGGTTGATAATCCATAGATGAATTAAAAGTATTAAGCTCACCAAAATATGTATTTACATGCCATAAGATGTTAGAGATGCAAATAGACATGATAGAGATGCATATAGACATGATGGAAAACGGTAAGCATATCCTCGTATATGGTTGAGGAAAGATGAATATATGCTTTAGATGCTAAATAACGCGTAAGCACGCCTCCGATGATATGAGCTCTAGATGAAATTTGAGGCTAGATGATATGAAGTGCTTAAGATGCTAAGAAAGGTCCGATTGGCTAGATGTTAAATGTTTCATATGCATTTAGTTGCATTACATGAGTTATAATGTTATTTACATCATGAGATGATTTATACTCATGTTAGATGATTTTAGATTTCATGTCATGACATGTGATGTGTGTGTACTATGTTTACATACTTATTTGTATGTGTACACATTGATGTTATCTAGCCATGGGATAAAATGATGAAAAGCATATGAATTAGTATAAAAGGGGAAGTATCCCTAGATGTAAAAGATAAGTATGTGTTAATAATGTTTAAATAAAGATCAAATAGTACATTCAGAATGAAACGGATCATTCCTTACGAGCGATATGCGCTCACCTTCATTGTTGATTGCTTTGCAGGTAGACTAGAAGCGAGGGATGCTAGAGACAGCGGGACTACAAGTGAGGGGAGATGATTTATGTCATCTCGATGTTTATTGATGTAAATAAGTGAAATGATAATATTTGTGAAATACCTTTGGAAGCTTCCACCCTATAAATATGTTTTGATTGTATAATTTCTTAAAGTTTGTAAATTATAAGTTTGGATCTGTGTGACATTTTATATGCATGTTTTGGATATTATTATTATTATCCTTACACAGATTTTTTTCTAAATACAACTCGTTCTCCAGACAGTATCCTCGGGATTTTCATTGGGATATTCAGAGGATACTGACTGGAGGGGAGTATTTACATTCTTGCAACCATTTTATGAGACACTACTCTTTTTTCGGGTTCCAATACCCACAGCAAACTTGTATCTCAGAAATGTGGAGAGTTCAAGGTGTTTATACGAAGAGATGGAAAATGAGGATGAAGTTCTTAGTACCATGGCAAGTCAAATGAAAGGAAAATTTGACAAATATTGGGATTCTTATACTGTTGTGTTAGCAATTGCAGCAATTCTGGACCCATGTTTCAAGTTTGAGTTTGTTGAGTTTTGTTACAAAAAAGTTGATGGCCCAGTAGTTGCAACAAGAAAGTTGGAGTTGGTCAAGCAGGAGTTGTATAGGCTTTTTGCTGCTTATGAGAGTCTAAGTGGCAATGAGGTTCCCACTAGAGATGATTGCGTACAAGCTAGTAATCCTAATATCATTGGAGATGATATTTGTGTAAGTCAATGCTCCCTAAATATTTTTATATTCTTGTGATTAATAAAGTTTTCTTTATTTTGTAATTTTGCTTTATTAAATTTAAATATTTAAATAGTGCAGGAATTTGACTACTACAAGAGTGACTTTAGTGCTACTAAGAAGTCCGAATTGGATACTTATTTGGGAGAGGCAAGGTTTGATCGCATCAAATTTTGCAATTTGGATATCCTGGACCATTAGAAGAAAATTAGTAATCGATACCCGATACTTTCGATGATGGCCCGTGATGTGATGAGTATACCAATAACTACTATTGCTTCGGAGTCCAGTTTCAGTATTGGTAGCAAAGTGCTCAGTAAATATTGAAGTTCACTTTTATCGGAGAATGCAGAGTCTTTGATATGCACCAGGACATGGATTTCTGGATATGAAGTTAAAGGTAACATTTTAACTTATATTTCACATGTTTTAATATTTTTGTTTGTTAATATATTACGATAGTTAACTTATATCTTGTTAATTGTAGAATATGAAATTGATGATGTTCAGCTGCTTGTGCCATTAAGTCAAGTGCGGGGGAAGGAGATTGCATAATCAAGGGCGGCTTTGTTTGTTTAGAGTGTTTGGTACTTTGGTTAAACAATTATATATGTTTAATTGTTTAGTGTTTACTATGTTATGTATGTTGAATGTTAAACAATTTTATATGTTTAGTGTTTACTAATTAGTAATTACTATGTATGTTTAGTGTTTATTAATTCTATTATCTATATGATGGAGTTTGATATAAATATGAAAAATATTAATATTAAATTAATAATGTTTGGTGAAATCTAATCAAATTTAATTTAATCATCCATTTATTTAATATAATAAGTTAATAACTAATAAGTTTAATAAATGAATTTTATATCAAGTTTTTAAATTAATATAATTTAGTATGCAATTTGAAATTTTGAATTAAAAATAACAGTAAAAAATAACAAAAATATGAAAAATGTAAAAGGCTGCTTCCATTTTCACGGGTGACCCGTACCCGCACGGGCGGGTACAGATCATGAAAATGTCGACCCGTGAGAATTTTTCACCTGTTGACCCGCGACCCATTCCACCCGCGACCCGTTGCTACCCGGACCATACCCGCCCAACCCGCCCGTTTGCCAGGTATAGGTGTTATGGATGTGTCAATGGGAGGTAAAGCAAGAGTACGGGTGGTTGTGTGTTGCTATGTGGGCTGAGGGTGTGCTGATATGGAGTCTGGATCAGGTAATTGGAAATTGGGGAAAAGGGTGGAAGGAGAGTGAGTGAATGACTTAGGAAGTAGGGATGGAGTTTGGAAAGGGAATAGAGTTTCATGAAAGATAACATCCTTTAAAATGAAAATTTTATGGGTGTTGAGATCAAGTAGCCGATACCCTTTCACACCAAAAGGATATCCAATGAAGGCACAACGTCGACTACGGGGATCAAATTTATGACGATGGTGGGAGGTGGTGGAAGCAAATGCTAGACACCCGAAGACACAAAGATGAGAGTAGGAGGGAAGTTTATTGAATAGGACTTCATAAGGAGTCTTGTTGTGAAGAAGAGGGGTGGGAATACGATTTATTAGGTAGGCGGCTGTAAGAACACAAGCAGACCAGAATTCTAATGGTATTCCTTATTGGAAACGTAAGGCACGAGCCACTTGAAGGAGATAGCGATGTTTTCTCTCGACTAACCCATTTTGTTGAGGGGTCTCAACACAAGAGGTTTGATGAATTATGCTGTGTTCAAAATAGAAGTCAGTCATGGAAAATTCCAGGCCATTGTACTACGCAGGATTTTAATTCTTGTATTAAATTAAGTGACAACCAGATTACAAAAGGATTTCAAACAAGGACGTGCATCAGATTTATTTTTCAGAATATACGCCCAAGTGCAGCGAGAGAAGTCGTCAACAATTGTGAGGAAAAACTGAGAACCATTGTGGTTTGAAATGTTGTGTGGTCCCCATAAATCACAGTGAACAAGATCAAAGCAATTAGAAGTAGAGTTGGTGCGAGAAGGAAATGGGAGCCTTGTTTGTTTGGCAAGAGGACAAGTAAGACAAGGTAAATTTTCATTGATATTCATATAAGTAGTTACATTGGTATCTTGAATGTGTAACATGCGAGAATGGGAAAGGTGACCCAATCGATAGTACCATAAATAATGAGCAATGTGGAGAGGTTGTACAGAGGCTGAAATGGGATTTTGAAGTGTAAAATGCTGTGAAAAAGTATGAACTAAAGCTTGAGGTGAGACATCTTCTGTGTGTAAGTGATAGAGACCATGTAGCAGGTTACCCTTCCCAATCGTTGTCTAGGGAGAAAGGCCCTATATAAAACAAGCATCAGAGAGAAACATGAAACAATAATTCAGTTGTTTGGCAAGTTTAGTTGCAGATAACAAATTAAAATGGAAATTGGGAACACATAAAACATCATGGAGGAGAAGAGTTGCTATCACTTGCACGACACTAATGTAAGTGACAATAGCTACTTCTCCATTTGGGAGTCTAACAAAATTAGAAGTGGTGGATGTTATTTTGGTGAAGAGGGAGGGGCTGCAGATCATATGATCTGTAGGCCCCGTGTTAATGATCCAAGGTTGAGAAGTAGAGGAAAAAGAAGACAAACACAAAGAGATACCAATAGCCAATGAAATATGGGGTTGAGTTGGAGGAACAATTTGGAGTTGGTTTGCAGATGGAGAAGCAGTTGAGTTCGTCTTGTGCAGCAAGGTTATAATTTCTTGATATTGCTCTTTAGTCAACACCAAGTTTGGGTCATTGTTGGTCGCCGAAGAAGGGGCTTCCATGGAGACGACATTGAGGCGTGGCTTGTGATAATTGTGTCCAGGGGGATAGTTGTGAAGCTTGTAGCAACGCTCGGCAATGTGTCCAGTCATCTCACAATGAGTACAGACAGGGGCTGTGGCATTTCCAGATTTGAAGCATTGGGCCAAAGTATGGCCTGTGATTTTACAATGAGAGCAGTACGGCTTGTCTCGCTTAGGAGAAAATTGAGATGGTCGACGAGCAGCCAACGCAATAGTTTCAATTGGAGGGGCAACGGAGGTGATGAGATGATGCTGTTCTTGTTGTTGAATGTAGGAAAATACCTTGTTGACAGGGGTAAATGATCAATCAACATAATCTGGTCACAAACATTTGTAAACGAGTCATGGAGACCCATCAGAAATTGGATCACATAGTCTCGCTGGTATCGGTCGGAGATGACTTTCGTTGAGGCACAAGTGCAAACAGGTAAGGGGTCATAGATGGAGAGTTCATCCCAGATGGATTTAAGTTATCCATAGTAGGTGCTTACCGTATTTGTTTCTTGTGATAGATTGGCAAGGGTTTTCTTTAATTCATAGATACAGGGACCATTTTGAGGGGAAAAACGGTCATGTAATTCAAGCCACAATGCGCGAACATCATCAACAAATGCAACCAATGGACGAAGAGGTAGACTGATAGCGTTTTGAAGCCAGGACACAAGCATATCATTGCATCGTTCCCACAATGAGAGGAGGAGTGCAGAGGTAGAGAGGGGTTTGTCGATAGTTCCATTAAGAAATCCGAGTTTATTCTTTGCCCGCAGTGCTCGTTGAATGGATCTGGACGAAGTGGAGTAATTCTCGGTTGTGAGATGTTCAGTGACTAGAAAGGTACCAGGATTATCAGAGGTTTCAAGACGGTATGGGTTGCTTGGGTTGCCGAGGTCGGTAAGGTTGAGAGTGGGAGTTTCAACACCGGCTTCTAATGCCATGATAGATAATGTAGAGGTCTGGCTTTCTAGAAGAAAAGAGAAACAGAGCAACAAGAGTGATGAAGAATTACTCTGTAATTTCAACCTAAAAAAAGGTAATGTGAAATCTATACAGTAGCCTATTTATACAAGTGAAATAAAATAATCTATACATGAGAAAACAAAATGAATATACAATATTGCCCTCAAGCATATGTACAGCTCAAAATGTCATGATCAAATTTGTTGAGAATTTGTTGGGCATGTAGTGGTGTTGCTCTCTCAGTTTTGCTCTTTTCGTGTGGCAGCTGACTCATCATTCTATAATATAATATATATATAAATATACAAAAAAAATTGAACTCCAATCAATTAATTGAATGGTGCTCCACAGTAACCAATTTAATTATCCCCATTCATTGCTTCAGGTTGTCTTCATCATATCATTATCTTCCCATTTGCATTTCCTGGAATTTGTTGTATTTATTATATAGTTTTCAGTTCACAATTATAGCGCCTATATTATTATATACCATTTTTGAAGGCCAGAAATTTAATGACAAAGTGAAAACCAAACTCTATGGTTTAATTCAAAATGTGGCTATTCTTGACCGTCCTGCTGAATTAGCATTACTTAGAAACAGTCAACGATACGCAAGAACACGATAAGCACGTCGGCGTAATCTCCACATCACAGAGATGATAAACCGGCAGAGTTGATCTACTATTTCGACCCGTGGCATATGATAGAAATCTTGATTTTCTTATTAATGTAATGGTCTTTAACATATAGCTGTGTTTATAATTGGATGATCTCATTAGTGTTTGACTTAACAAGAGTTTGTGCCGCCCACGCGAGTTAAGCAACACTTAGTGACTTATTGGTCGTCATCAAAACCCATATGCATGAATGATTAATATTAGAGATAAAACAAGGGACAAGAACCAATTTTTCCCTATATTGGCCTACCCACTCTCAACATTATCTTACACTAATGAATAGTTCTCATGTCTCTCTCTCCTCTATTATAGGCAGTCTTTTATTAAGAAACCAACGATCATTGGGTGTATATACTAATGGTTTTTCTGAATTTGGGTTTACTATACCCGCTCTCAACATTATCTTACACGCATGAATAATTCTCATGTCTCTCTCGCTCTCTCTCCTCTATTATAGGCAATCTTTTATTGAGAAATCAACGATCATTTTGCGTATATAGTAATGGTTTTTCTTAATTTGGGTTTACTATACATTCATTTTTAAGCTTTTTAAACAGTTGTGATTGAGCCACTTGTCATAACCTGTCAGCTGCGTTGGCTTTTGGAGCTCTTGAAAGAATACATAGAAATAATTATTCATTTTTATAGTAAAATGCCAGATAAGAAGTGGTTCAATCCTGTTTGACGCCCTTCCGGGATCCAAAAATCGTTGTAAAGTACGATGTATAAGTCACCATAGCTCAATGCCAATCTATACTTACGACGTATAGTTCTTCATTAATTATGATAGAAATTCTCACTAAAAAAATTCAGATGACAGTAAACTATCATTAAGAATAGTAATATAAAAGAGATGCTTTGATTAAAGTTTATTTATTTATTTTTTTAAATGGATGTTTTATTCTCTCCAGATATCAAAGTATATAAATTGATTTTTATTATAAAGAGTAATGTTTAAACGACATGAATGTGCTAAATCTATCTTTTTAACGGAAGTGACATAAAAGATAAAAACTTTTGATCCTAGCTGTTTCATATCTTGTTAATGAGCCCTTTTCAAGAGAAGCCGCTGAGCTTATTAGTGATGTTTGATTTGGTAGCTAATTGCTATGGCTATCTTATAAAATTTGCATTCCAAAGACCCCCCAATCAATTTTAATCATAGAATTAAAAATTAACGAATCCACAGAACCGACCAGTATAAGTCTTTCCAAACTATTTTCTAATGATTTTACGTTTAATTAATTTAGTTTTTTAACCATAAATTAGTGATTGACAACACACCTCAGCGGCTAAGGGGCAATCAGTGATAAAACCAGAAAGACGTGTGGTGGAAATACGACCCTGTTATCCATTGCAATATTATATATAGAATCTTGAGAATCAACGTGTCACGTGTTTACTTGAAAGCTGAAAAGCCAGATTCCTTTATTGACCATTCAAACGTAAATTCTCATCCGACCACTTATAACAATTGACCCAGGAAGCAAATGTCTTATCATTTTTAAATCGACTAATTTCAGAGGTTGTATCTCGTTTCTATTTTCTAGCCGACCATATTTCAGATTTTTAATTTCCTAAATATATGATAATGATACCCACATGATTCATAACATACTGATGCTTTTCTTCTCCTTATCATAACTATTTCAACACTGGGGCTTCCTGAAATAATCCTGATGAGATTATGGTATGCCAAGTCCTCAATAAGAATAAAAACAAGATGAACAGCCCTTCAAGAATCATGACAAATAATTGTTTTAAGTTTTTTCTTACTGTCCCAATGAAGCCAGCCATCACATGTGGAATGGACCCGATTGATGTGGCTTGGCTCTACAGAGGGAGAGAGGCATGTTGAATAGTTAATTAGCAGCACACAACCCAAGTCCTATGACCTGGCGCCGATATAAAACGTTTTTATGTGATACCCTATATAAGTTTAGAATCCAAGAAGATCCATCCGTTGGTTCACCATCCAAATCCAATTCAACACGCATCTTTGGGATATTCTGTTGTCGGCAACTTCTTAATCACTAAATCTATCAAATCTTTTCATCAACTTTCGTTTAATTTTAATTGCCTACTCATTTAGGCTTTGGACTATATGTATATGTAACATCTCATAAACTATATTAATTGTAGTTTAAGTAAAATGTATTAACTCAAAATTTAAGTACTGAAATAATATGATGAATCATATGAATATTAATGAATCAAAGTAATGATGAATGGGATGAAAATTGGATTACCACTCATTAGGTGATGATTTCCAACATGGGACCTACAGGCTACAATACAAAGGGAATAGGCACCATGCAATTGCGTGAGCCTGAAGTTTGACTTTATACGCGTAAAGAATGAAAGAAAGAGCACCTTCATTGCTGCAATTTCTCCAAACCACCAAATTTTGATGGTTACAACACAGCAATTTTCATCAGCTAATAATTTGCTTACCAATATTCAAATTTGTCTTTTATTATAACTTGCATGATTGCATATGTGATCATTATTAAATTTTCTTCAGATTAAACGTTGCTTTGTTTGATAAATATTGTCTACTAGTGCATATTATTTTATTTGTTAAATTATAATACTTTAATGTAACACGCACTTATAGGAAGAATTACCATATGATCTTAAACCTGAAATTATCATACGGTCAAATGTTTTTATTTTTAATAAAAGAAATTGCGATGTTATTCATTGATATTCAAATCCACTTTCATCAACGTATCAGGACATGCCTTGATTAATTTCTCTTATAAAAATTTCATTTGCTTTAATACTTCTAAAGTGTTTAGAATAATGTAAAAAAATAACTTCGTCCAACTTGCTAAAGCAAAGATTTAGGCCTTAGGTGGACCAAACTTATGCACGGTGAAGGTGGTATCGGATGGTCAATTAAACCCCTTTTTTCTCCTAGAAATGACTGTGTATTAGTTGTTTAAAACAAAAAGGTAATCTCAGTGCTTTGAAATTAGTAAGGGTCAATAGCTATCCTTTTTTTTAGTCGTTACCTAATCTATCTCTTTCTTATGCCAACTTTCATGATTTGCCTTCTTTAACCCACTTAACCACATGCATTAAGAAAATGGATTCTTACCATGTTACAATTAGTTTATTCAAGTGGACTGAATCTTTTATTTGAGTTTATCCTAAAGATAATGGTAACAATCATATATAAATCATATTTATATATCCTGAAATATATTTAAATTCGAACTGCTCTAACATTATTTTTTATTTTTCTCTCTGAGCCCAAACAGTAGATTTCATTTGGTTAAGTCATTTCCATGCAAAATAATAATATTAACTTGTACAATTATATAGTTCAAAAGTTATCTTCATGGATCGACAACCGAGCATTGACCAATCAGATTTCTTAAAAAATTTGAGTTTAATTAGTGCATTTTTCTCTTTTATCGATACTTTTATCTCGAATGAACAATTTCTCCTCAACATAGATCAAGGAAAATCTTGGTATCTTTCATCTTTTATAATGTTTACAGCAGTGCTTTTCTCCTTTTTATTATTACTTGTATAGTTTCTGATTCAATTTGTTCTCCTTTTCTTTTCTGTCCTGCTGAACCTGAGCCCTGGTAGATTCGGTTTAAATTAAAACTGTGGGGGACCATTGCGTAATCTGCTAGACCTATTTTTTTAATCCTTAATTCTTCGGGACTAAACAAATCAATATGTAGAGAAGTCCATGCCTATCCCACTCCTAGCTGGGGTTCGGTTCAGATTCTCAGAAGGATTATCTTACGTTTTTCAATATTTTAAAAAATTATGATAAAATATTGATTGTTAATACGATATTCATTAGATAATTTAAAGACCGAGTGCTAAAATGATGTCAAAAGCGTTCTCCAATATTAATAACATAAAATTCAATCAATTTTATCATTCAATCGGAAATTATACCAGGCAGGAACATAAATATAATAAAAACCTTTTTTTTTTTAATAATTTGAAAAAGAAAAATTAAATAATTTGAAAATATAAGAAGGAATTAATGGACCATTATATGAATATCACATCATCTTTATCTGTTTACAATAAGAAAACATAATATAAACTTTTTTTTTTCCTATAAACTAGAAATACACGCGGAAAAGTATTTTAAATTCTAAGAGAAAAAAAGTTATTTCTTTGTTCCACTGTTTGTGGCTAATTGTTTTAAATAATATTACAGATACATCATTCTTATACAATATTTCTCATACAATACTATGTGGTAAGATATGATTGGATGAAAGTTTAATTTTAACTTTAAATTAGTCAACCATATTTTGTCACATAATGTTGTATGAAAATGATGTATGTATAGTATTACTCGTTGTTTTTGTAATCTAGATATTGGACAACTCCTAATGACCTACCTTGAGTTTTGAAACCCAAACCAAACTTCAATCAAAATCCAATCCCATAGCATCTCTCCTCGCGGGAGGAATCTAAAACTTAATCCATATAATTTTTTCATCAATTTTTAAGCCTTGATTATGTATTTATTTATATTTTATCACAATTAATTACTTCGTACAATCGTGCAGGAGAGAACTTTCAAAATGGGCATTTTAGACATTAAGATTTGGATTTGTCATGATGCATATATTAAGTATATGTTATGATAATAAAAGGAAGATTAATGTAATGATTCTTTAATTATGGCTTAAATGAAACAAATAATAAAAGCTTTCGGCATAAATTCTGGTTTTGCTTACCTGCTTTAGGGAAGTCCTTAAGATATGGGACTCAAATATTCCAACTTTTTTTATGCATAGCAGAGTCAACTTTTTAATTAAGAAGTGAGGTATCGAAAAAGGGGGAGTCAGCTATTAATACTTTTCTGGCACCTCTATAAGCACATTTAAATACTTAATACAATTTTTAATATAGATATTGATAATTTCTTCTATTTTTTTTTTTAATCTCAAGACTAAATAACTCCTTTTTTTTTTGGTTAGATTATTGGCTTATCTTATTTCTTTTTTAAAGTATTGTATAAGACAATAATATTCTGAATCTGGTTGATTTATCAAAACAATAAAAAGGGTAAAGCCAGCCGCAACCATGAGCCGAAGCCCCTGTCTAGTGTCAACCGACCTTTCTGCTAAATTACAGTTCAAAAGAGAGAGGAATTCTTATTCTTTGACCCATTTTTAATATTGTTTTCAAATTGTAATAAAACCAAGCCTCGACTAGGTGGCACTTCATCCAAATTTCTAAGTTACTGATTCCAATAGTACATCCTCCAATCACACTATATAAAGGCCCTCAGCCTTGCACCCATTCTGGCTTGTGCCAGAGTTTCAAGTCTCCTCTCTTTCTCTGCTACTTACTGTCCAATATATTTATCCATATACTCCAATGACTGAGCTTCCACAAATGCAAGGAAAGACCCTCCCAGATGCTTGGGACTACAAGGGCCGCACAGCCGAGCGGTCCAAAACCGGTGGCTGGACCAGTGCCGCCATGATTTTAGGTCTTAAATCCATTTCCCCTCCTTGTTCCTCACCTTAACTTCGCTTTCTATCTTTGGACATTCTATTCTATTTATTTATAGTACTTAATTGGGTGTCTTGTTTTCTTTTTTAGGTGGTGAGGCGTGTGAGAGGTTAACTACGCTTGGTATCGCCGTTAATATGGTGACTTATTTGACTAGCACTATGCATTTAGGCAATGCCACCGCTGCCAACACTGTCACCAACTTCCTTGGAACCTCTTTCATGCTCTGTTTGCTTGGTGGCTTTGTCGCTGACACCTTTCTTGGAAGGTTTGCCTTTTCAACTTGCACTTGGATCTTCTTTTAAGGGCTTCATCACTTCTTTCTAATCTTAGATTTAAATTCGTTTGTTCTTTTTACAGATATCTCACAATTGCAATCTTCGCTACTGTTCAAGCAACTGTAAGCCCACTATCTATTATGATTATTTTATTAAAAGATAAAATAAAGAAATAAAAAAATAAAATGAAACCACTTTTCTCATAAAATAAAGTTTTGTTAATTAATATATATACCTCCCTGGATACTTATTGATTATGATTCATGTATGGTTGTGATTTTAGGGTGTGACTGTGTTGACAATCTCAACAATAATCCCCAGCTTGAGGCCACCAAAATGCGCCATCAAGAACGGCGCCGCATCTTGCATCCAAGCAAGCGGCATGCAACTCACAGTTCTCTATATAGCTCTATATCTGACTGCCCTGGGGACTGGGGGTCTAAAATCAAGCGTGTCAGGTTTTGGGTCGGACCAATTCGACGAATCAGACCAACAAGAGCGAAGTCAAATGACCAACTTCTTCAACTGGTTTTTTTTCTTTATTAGCATAGGCTCACTAGCGGCAGTGACAGTTCTTGTTTACATACAAGACAACTTGGGTCGTGAATGGGGATATGGTATATGTGCTTGCGCTATTGTTATTGGGTTGGTTGTGTTTTTGTCAGGCACTAGACGATATCGGTTCAAGAAATTGGTAGGTAGTCCGTTGACGCAGTTTGCCGCGGTGTTTGTGGGTTCTTGGAGGAAAAGGCATTTGGATTTACCTTCAGATTCATCCATGCTCTTCGATATTGATGATATTCCAGCCGAAAGCAAGAAGAAAAAGCAAAGTTTGCCCCACAGCAAGCAGTTCTGGTTAGTCTTTTATTCAATTCAACTAACTCTTTCACTATAGTAACTGTTTCCCGTGCACCGTTTTTTTTTTTTTTTGCTTTTTGGTTGAGAAAACTAGTCTTCTCTCTCGTATATTAAAATTTAAAGTTTCAAGTATTTATTAATTTTCTTTTATTTCCTTCAACTTTTGAAAGAGTCGATGAAATATTTATTTAATTTGATTAGTAGCCTTGTGAACTTTAAATAGTTAAAAAAATCTTCCTATCTCACTAGAGTATAATCATAAATATTATATGAAAGACGAGGTTACCGTGATTTATGAAGTTACTGTACTTGACGAGGTTAATTGAAGTCTTGGTTGAAACTAGGACACTTCATTCAGAATAACTTACTAAAAAAAAAAAAAAAAAATAAGAGTAGGTGACAATAGAGGGAAAGTACCGTTTGGATGGGACGCATCTGATGGAGGATTGGCAACCAACTAGCCCATAGATTCAATCAGTGGTTAGAATTTATTGGTTTAGAATTCATAATTATTGGCCCCACAGGATCAAGAAATATATATACATTGCATCCATATTCGTCAAATGTCCATAATTTATTTAGCGATTTAGAGACTCTAAAAGTTTAAAGAAACAGTTCTAACGTTCAAAGATAGAACATGTAAGATATCTGTATGTCAATTATAGGAATGGAATGCACTGAATCTCTTCATGTTGATCTACATGATCTCATTATATATATTAATACAACAATTTGCAAAGTAATCGAAAAGAGATCACGAGTCACTTAGCCAGACTGTCTCCAAATCGATCTTCACTCTAGGTTCTTGCCTTGAGTTAATATTAAAGCAGCTTTCCCAACTCACTCACGGACATATTAACCACTATGTTCATTGCCTGTGCTCTTCCACTCCATCACGCTCTGTTATGCAAAACCACATCTTTTTATAATCTTCTCAGATTCTTTCTGGCTTGGAACTATCATCAAAAAAAAAAAAAAAAATCAACCAGAAACAAACAAAAGAATAATACATCATATGCCCAACGAGTAGTCTCTATGGGACCATTTTAGCTCACGTTCTCCAATCACATCCACCAATTACATGAGGATACGCTTTGCACTTTGAGCATCACATGTATGTATATATAAAGCTTACAAGTTGTAATGACTTTTCAAAAACTTGAATAAATGCAATTAATTTTCTGATAATGATGTTGATTTTGGCTTAATTTGCTGACTTATGCAGTTTCTTGGACAAGGCAGCAATCAAAGATCCAGATGTGACTAATGTGAACAAGTGGAATTTATCAACCTTAACCGATGTGGAAGAAGTGAAATTGGTGATTAGGATGTTGCCTATTTGGGCTACCACAATTTTGTTTTGGACAGTGTATGCGCAAATGACCACATTTTCAGTATCGCAGGCAACCACCATGGACCGTCACTTAGGCAGTTTTCAAATCCCTGCAGCGTCACTTACTGTCTTTTTTGTAGGCAGCATTCTCTTGACTGTCCCAGTTTATGACCGAATTATTGTTCCAATTACAAGAAAAGTGTTTAGTAACCCACAAGGACTCACCCCATTGCAACGAATAGGGGTTGGTCTAGCGCTCTCAATTTTAGCAATGGTTGCAGCAGCACTCTGTGAATTAAAGCGATTACATGTAGCGAGATCACACGGTTTAGGAGATGATCCTACGGGTGAGATCCCAATAAGCGTGTTCTTGTTGGTGCCTCAGTTTTTCTTGGTGGGTGCCGGAGAGGCATTTACATATATAGGACAGCTTGATTTTTTCTTAAGAGAATGTCCAAAAGGAATGAAGACAATGAGCACGGGGTTGTTTTTGAGCACCCTTTCACTAGGATTTTTCTTCAGTTCTTTATTGGTTTCTATAGTGCACAAGGTGACTGGGGACAAAAAGCCATGGCTAGCAGACAATCTCAATCAAGGGAAGCTATATGATTTCTACTGGCTATTGGCGATATTGAGTGCGTTGAACTTTGTTATCTATTTGGGTTGTGCTAAATGGTATGTCTACAAGGATAAGAGGCTGGCTGAAGAGGGCATTGAACTGGAAGAACAAGAGTTTACTTGCCATGCATAACACCATAAGGGTCTTGCTTCTTTTCTGGAATTTGTAATATTTTAAGCTGAGTCTAATATATATATATATATATATATATATATTTCTTTGGGGGTGGGTGCTGTTAATAAGCGTAACCTTTACTTGTATTTAAAAAAAAATGAGGTGAAGGAAGCAACAGTTGTATTGTACCAAAATGGTCATCATCATCTTGGGGGTAAATACTACTAAAAGAAGGGAAACTTTAAATTTTACTTTCGTGGTGCTAAACTAATAACCATGGCAACTAGAAGAGAGAAGTAATCATCGAATTTCAAGACCCTAATTTATGTAGCTGGTTACCTTTTCTTTTCTTTTTATTTTTTAGATTCACAACGCAGTTCATTAATAATCATTTTTGGTAGGTTTACTTATAGTTTGTTTCTCTGATTTATTTGCCATATAATTTACCACTTATAAAGTTTACTGAGTTATTGAGCCTACTCTAATTAGAAGAAAAAAGGAAATTAAGATAAAGTAGCACTACGTCCGCTTTCTGAAAGGGAGGAACTTTCTTGCGTAAACTTTTGTGCCTCAACTTAAAAGTTTTAGGTTTTCTTGCCGCCTTACCTAAGTGAAATTAAATTGATACTAAGATTTGAAGATGAGGTGACAAACTTGGAATTGGGGAAGCATTGCAAACTCCAATTCTCATTTTGGATTATGTGTTTTTGAACTTCCATATGAATAACATAAAATAAATGAATGAATAAAACAATCTATAATATTATTCAATGTAAAGATGAATTATTGGATAACATTAAGATAGTAAGATGCATGCGCATTCAAATAAGAAAACGGAGAGGAGGCCACATAACAATGTAGCTGGAGTTGTATCTTTTAAGAGATTTGATTAGTCAAGAACAACATACAAGAGACAAAAACCATCTACTCTGACAATTAATCTGTTCTGAATAGATAATTGTTTCAGCGCTTTATTTTCTCTCTTTAATAGAAAAGTTAAAAGAGTTTCTATGATAAACAGTTGAAATATGGGGCACAATTACAAAGATATATTGTATAAGGTAAAGTTACATCACAGTAATCGAAACACGATCATCTACATTCATACTTGTTTGTTAACAGCAAAATCCTTCAAAAATGAATACATTAACAGCACATACTTCTTGGATAGTTCCTCCGAAAGATTCTTCGAATCATATGTAGTTCATGTAATTAATTCTGTAACCACGTGAAATATCGACCAACATATGTTTTAGATCCATTGTTTGTGCATTAATTGGTTGCCAGTTTGAAAATGGATGCCTTGTTCCAAGTTTTGGATGCAACCTAATTATTTAATAATGATTAAAAACGTCAGCGCACAAGCAGCCAAATTTCTTCTGTGTCAAATAATTTTCACTGGACCAATATTGATGGGTGAATAAGATCAATCATGCAAGCAAAAGGCAGATTGACATAAAGACATTGGATTTTGACAAACAATGATACTTGTATTAGAGATAGTCCTCTCTCTTAGTTGTAAAGTAAATCTTACATATGCGTCACGTAGCAGGTAACGACATGATTGAGTACTAGGATGATAATATATGCGAAGATCTAGCTGGCATGTCGATTTCATCAACCAAGTCGGCAATCTAGTTTAACTCGTTTCAGCAATCTAGTTTAACTCGTTTCAGTTTCATTGTTGATCGTTAACCTAGCTGGCACCATTCAATAGACCACCCAACTTTACCACAAATTAAGAGGAGTTAACTTTACCTTTCTTCTTCAAAGTGTTACTGTTAGTACATTCAGCTTGAATGTATCCATATATTTCACACTTAAAACTCTTAGAGTGCGTTTTGTTTAAAGAATATTGTATTATTAAGAATGTTATATTAAGATAAAGATAGATTACCTTGAAAGATTACTGAGAATGTTATATTAATGTATTTGGTTAGAAAGAATAAATTAGTGGTTATGTTATGTTTATATGTTCGGTTACGAGGTATAAATTTAGAGGTGCGCAAGGCGTGGGACCAGACCTAATTTTTGAAGGGCCCATGAGATTTCTTAGGGCCCGGACTGGTGAGCCTATTTATTTTTTTTATTTTTTTAAATTACATTTTAACTCTTGCATTTATTGTCAATTTCATATCAAATAGGGGGTTTTGGATATTTTATAGGGGGTTAAATGTAATTGGGGAGGGGGTTTGGGCCTGGGCCTGGGCCTGGGCCTGGGCTTGGGCTTGGGCCTAAACCGGTCCTAGGCCTGATCCCTCCCCCCTTGGGCCTGGTCCGATTGTAGGATCGGGTTTTTAGGCCAGGTCCTCTGGGCCCAAGCCTAATTCCCACCTCTTTGGAGTGTATGTTATTTAAATTATTGAATTATCCTCTTTTCAAATATTATTATTTTTTATATTATTTTTTATATTATTATTTTATAACCCCCTATATTAAAAAATTTAGCTAAAACACCCCCATAATAAAAGTTTAAAAATCAACGAAGACACCCCTACCCACCCACTATCGGCCTTCGGCAACCAAACGGCGCAGGCTAGCTAGATCTGGCTATTTTGGCAAGATCGTGAAAATTTTGGATGGAAACGGCTAGTTCTATTATGGCCGTTTCTGATCAGATTTTTCAATCTAACCGTTAACGGCCAGATCGATGGCCATTAACGGCCATGGATCTGGCTATTTCCGGCCAGATCGCTAAATTTGATCAGAATGGCCAAAACTAATCAGGACGTTTCTGGCCAGAGATCTCGTCGAAAATGGCCAAATCAGAGCACAGCCGGCTAGATCTTGCCGGCGTCGGCCACCGTCAGAGGTGGGCAATGGTCGACGGTGGTAGTTTTGGTGGGCTAGAATTTGTTTTAAATACAAGGGCATTAATATCAAAAAACTTAATTAATTAGGGGTAAATTTGTAATGGCAGACTTATGTAAATTAATTTAAAAATAAGGGTACTTTTGTTCAAAAATTTTATTAATAAAGGGTAAAATTGTAATAAAAATAAAATTACTAAATAATCTTAAAATACCTAAGAAATTAGATTACCAACAGTAATAACTATTGGTTTTGGAAGATTACAGGATTCTTATATTACTTTGACAACCAAACGTGGTAATCAAGTAATATAAGATGACATTACCTTAGTAATCCCCCATGACCCGCAACCAAACACACCCTTGGGGTACGTTTGGTTTTGGGTCTAGGAAGATTACTCATGTAATCTATCTTTTATTACGGACACTACGCTTTTTGGTTGTCAAGTAATAAAAGATTATGATAATCTTTCATCACTAATAGTTTCTACTATTAGGGGGCGTTTGGATCATATAATGTTTTATTATAGGGGGATGATATATTAACGAAAAGATACATCACCTTGAAGATTACTGGGAATGTTTAAGAAATGTGTTTGGTTGGTTCGAGTAAATTGGTGAATAATATGTTTGGTTGGAAAGATAAATGGGTGGCTATGTTATGTAGATTACTAAATTGCCCTCCTTTTTAAATATTAATATAATATTATTTTTTGAATCATTTCTTTTAACCTTTTACATTTGAAGTTTTGCTAAAAAATTCCAATCATATAAAACTTTAATTTGTAGCAAGATCACCCCCACGCACCCTAAGCCATTGTCCTTAGCCAGCCACCACTGTTGGTCGCCGCCGACAGTCGATGAAATGGTGCATGATTTGCCATATATGGCCAGCCGTGCGTCAATAAAGCCATTTCCAAACATGGATCACAAATCCATGGCCGTTTTACGACTAGATCTATGGCCTTTTCACAGCCAAAGATGTTGCCGTGAAAAGGCTAGATCTTTGGCCTTTTCACGGCCACATCTTTGGTCATGAAATGGCTATAGAAACGACTAGATCTGGTCGAAAAATGCCTTATCAGCACACAACCGGCCACATCTCGCCGATCGTACGCCATGATGGTGACTAACACCGGCGGTCGGGTTGGTGAGTAACGGTCGGTGGTGGTCTTGGGTGGCTGGGGGTATTTTGTTAATTTTTAAACTTTTTGTGGCTAGGGTGTTTTAGCTAATTTCTCAAATATAGGGGGACTGGGTAATTGTTATTTGGTAGACATTTGAGGGCAATTGTGTCTGAAATGGTATTTAATTAAGTGCAAAATAGGTATAAAAATCATATTACCTAGTAATTTTTTAATAACACCCTTGGAGGAGGGTATCAGATTACCCCCTACATTACCAATTGTAAACACTATTTGCAATAGAGTATTCTTATAATATTTTATTACTTGCAAGCCAAACACTAGAATCTTACAAAATAAACAAAGATTGTCTCCGATGCAAACGCACCCCTAGTAATATAAGGGGTCATCAAATTACCTTCTCAATAAGTGTTATTAAAAGATTACCGAGGTAATCCATAGTTCATATCAATTTTAACCTTAATTAAAAAACACTTCGGACACAAATGCCCTCATATGTCTACCAAATAACAATTAGCCCAACTATGCAAAATGACCTCTATAACCTCATAAATTAATTTTTTGAATAGAAATAACCCTCACTATTTATATGAATACCACCCAAAATTATTTAGCCACTGCAGACGATTTTCGATCGTTAACGACCTTGGATCTAGCCAAAAATGGCCGAATTCATTGGATCCGGCCATTTTTTACCTTCGATCTGGCCAATAAAGACCGATTGTGCATCGTTCCTACAATTGTTGTCGACGAGCAACGGTGGTGGTCGGCAGCAAGCAATCCTCTATAGTAGCTGGGGTTATTTTGTTAAAATTTAAACTTTTTTTGTTGGAGTGTTTTAACTAAATTCTCAAATGTAAGGGTTAAAAGTAATCTATCTAAATAATAGTTATAATAATAATAACATAATAATATTATTAAAAAGGAAGGACAACTTAGTAAAAGCCTCTGCCGATAATATTTTATTCCTCCCAACTAAACATTTTAGTTATTTATACCCACTAATCTGACCAAACATATTGATATTACATTCCTCTATAATCTTCAAGGTAATTTATCTCACTGATAATCTTACCTTTTCAGCAATAAAACATTCTTCGAACCAAACACACTCTTAATGTTTTTGTTTTTCTTCTCATTGTCTTTTGAAAACCTTTTTGAGAATCCACCAGAATTATACTGATAAGAATTGTTTTTCACAAAGGGTTGTTTACCTTTTCCAACAACATTCGACTTTTTCATGTTTTTTTTCTCAAAAACTTGGCATAATTTTTTTTGTAAGTAATGCAAATTTTTCTTCATTCAAATCACTAAAATCAACATTTTAAAAAACATTAGAGTCAACCTCATG